GGGAGTTTTGGTAGATACATAATTTGGAGATACTTTCTAACAGTATTTGAATAATTTGGAATGCTTATTAAAGCGAGGCCAATATTTGGATTTTACAAATCAGGCTCCAGATGAGTCCAAGCAGATCTTGATTTCAGCCAGACCAAATAGCTGAAATCCAGATCCAAATGTAATAATAAGGTCCAGATTGCTAAAATTTAGAAATGTATTATAAAAGTCTTAACTGTTTGTCCTTTGGCAGAGCTAGCAGCCAGATTCAAAATAGTTTCTTCTTTAATCTTTTTTTCCAGCCCAATAAAAGGCCAATTACAAATCCATTACAAACCAACAAAACTATTAAAAGTAAAAAAAAAGGCCTGAATAATAAAAAAGTGACAAAAAAATAAAATAGTTGACGCCAAAAAATAAATTAATGTTGGCCCATGGATGGCTCAGTGCTGACTGAAAATTCATGGTGGGACAAGTATTTACAAAGGTCTTCCCACACTTTGATTTCTGAGTAAATACTCTCTGATTAGTTGGCTTGACTCTTATGAGAATTGTCTGGTATAAATTAGTTTCCCCACCAGTTTCCAATGAATGGGGCCTGGGGAGACACTAGCATGTCCCCACCATTTTACCATTAGTGGTGTACCGTTGTGCTTAAAAGTTTGCACACCCTTGGAGAATTGGTAATATATGGACTATTTTTAAAGAAAACATGAGTGAGCAGGCAAAACACATTTCTTTTATTTCTTACGGGATTCATATTCAACTGTAGGTTATAACAGAATGGCACAATCATAAAACAAAACATGGCAACAAAGAGAAAAAATGGAATGACCCCTGTTCAAAAGTATGCATACCCTTAGTTCTTAATACTGTGTATTGCCCCCTTTAGCATTAATGACAGCGTTTCTGCAATTCTTGTAGGTGGTTTAGCTGCCCATTTGTCTTGGCAAAATGCCTCCAGGTCATGCAAAGTCTTTGGTCGTCTTGCACGAACCACATGTTTGAGATCTTCCCAGAGTGGCTTGATAATATTAAGGTCAGGTGACTGTGATTGCCACTCCAGAACCTTCACCTTTTCTGCTGTAATCACTGGAGGGTCAACTTGGCCTTGTGCTTAGAGTCATTGTTATGCTGGAAAGTCCAAGAGCGTCCCATGCGCAGCCTTCATGCAGAAGAACGCAAATTGTCTGCATTCATCTTGCCATCAATTTTCACAAGATTCCCTGTGCCTTTTGAGCTCACACCTTCCAAAACATCAGTGAGCCACCCCCATGCTTCACAGTGGGAATGGTATTCCTTTCACTATAGGCCTTGTTGACCGCTCACCAAACATGGCGCTTATAGTTGTGACCATAAAGCTCTATTTTGGTCTTGTCACTCCAATTTACAGTGTGCCAGAAGCTGTGAGGTGTGGGGCATATTGTAAACTGGCTTTTTTGTGGCATTAGCGCAGCAAAGGCTTGTTTCTGGCAACTCGACCATGCAGCTAATTTTTACATCTTTTTATATCCTTTTCCATCTCTATAAAGTTCCATTACCTTGGCACGCTGGTCTTTTGACGGTTCTTTTCTGCTCCAGATGGCTCAGTATCTAGCCTTCTCAGTGTTTCCAAGTGAGAGCTAACTAACTCATTAGCTATTTATACACAGACACTAATTGCAATTTAAAAAGCCACAGGTGTGGGAAATTAGCATTTAAATGCCATTTTAACCTGTGTGTGTCACCTTGTGTGTCTGTAACAAGGCCAAACATTCAAGGGTATGTAAACTTTTGATCAGGGTCATTTGGGTAATTTCTGTTAGCATTATGATTTAAAAGGGAGCCAAACAACTATGTGATAATAAATGGCTTCAGATGACCACTATTCTTCAATAAAATACTTTTTTTTGCATGATCAGTCATCTTTTCAAAATCAATGCCAAAATTTCACAATTTCTGTCAGGGTATGCAAACTTTTGAGCACAACTGTATATTTCTCATGTTTTTATACTTAAATCTCCACGTACTGGTCACTGAAACATTACCAAATTCCAACAGTACTGGTAATTCTTACATTTATTTGGTGGTTCTGTCGGATTTATTAGGTGTCAGGTTTAAAATCAGTGCTTTTTACAGGATTATTCGTGATAATTTACAAAGCACACATTTTAAGCAAATCCGGATCAGATGCATCTGGTTGGATGTACTTTGTGGACATTGGTATGTCCTTACTCCTGGATTATTTTATAGTTACAACCTAAGCCCCATGCATGGGGCCAGGAGACATGCCTTCCCTCACATATTATGTTAGAGAACCCAACTATTGTCCACTGGTGGAGGAAGAGGTGTGGACAGTGACCAGTCTACCTCCATTATTAAGATGCAGCTCCTACCGAGTACCTATGTTTAAGGGCATTGGTGGAGTCAGTGTCAGGTTCTCCTCAATAATTTACTGTAGGTTGGGGCCTTGTTAGTGACTGGGCAGCAATACCTTCCTATGGACCTGAGAAATCTTTCTCTCCTCACAATCACACTAGTCACCTTCGCCTGAGGCAACATTTACTGACATAACTATGGATCAGGAACAGTGCAACTTTCCACACATCTCATGGAGAAATCAGGGATTTTCTGCGTGAGTATAAGCAGTAATGCATTAGTGCCTTGAAGCAGGGATTGATTAAGTATTATATAACTCCATATACAGACAGACATACTAAAGAAGTTCGAACCCTTCCTCCAGGCACTCATACATATGTCGCACTTAGTCCTCCTGGGTGTTTTTCTTTTTTTAAATGATAGGACTTACTTCTTTTTTTCAAACAGTAATTAGGTTTGCCCTATACATGTTTTTTTCTGCCCCTCTCCTAAATTGCAAAGTAAAAATTTTTGTTCCAAAACAATTTACTACTGTGAATGATATTATGACTTGTATTTCTGTGATGAATAGTTCAGCTGTTAGAGTTTTACAGTAAAAAGCTGAAAATGTAACTAAAGTCCAGAATCCATTTTGTGCCTCTAAAGCATGGCTTATACAACACATTCAGCAGATACGTGGGAAGTTAAACAAACAACAGCTCCTGGTTTGGTGGAAGCTCACTTCACATGCTGAAGTTTTGTAGAGTAGAGTATTTGTTTATTTATTTATTTATGCATATTTTAATGCATTTTATATATTACTCTTTAAAAGAAAGTCAGGTCCACTCAGAGTTTCGTGAATTTGGGGCCTCACTGCTGATTGAAGTAAGTTCTTGCAACATCAGGATCTGGTCTCCAGTTTAATGTTCCATTCATTACCCTTTGGTCATGGTTATAGGACTTTTGGCTATGTAATGTCGTTTCCAGCAGTGTGGGTCTTTTAAATCTAGCAGCAGCGAATCCCGTATTACTGATCAGTTATTCTATGGGATTACAATGAATCTTTCTATTTCTAAACACAGGGGTCCCCACCAGGCATAACACTATTGCAAAAAAAAAACCTCACTTAGCAAACTGTGTCTGAGTATTCATGTTAAAAATTTTTTAGATGAGCTCTAAAATATATATATACAGGGCTGGTGCTACTGCTAGGGAGGGTGCCCAGGCTTCGGGTGACCAGCAGGTGGAGTGCGCTCAGCACAGTGCTTCCCCTACTGCCGGTCACTTCTGGTAGCATGGCCGCACAGACCGTAGGTAGAGGATCTTCTGTATCCTCTATCCGGTCTCACAGGAAGTGCTTCCTATAAGCAACAAACAGCTTCCTGTTAGACAAAGGGGAGCTGAGCAGGTAATGCAAGGTTGGAAGAGAGAATGACACAAAAAGGGTCTGTAGAAGGTGGCAATGACACACACAGAGAGGCTGGGTAAGGATATAATGACACACACAGAGGGGCTGTGGAAGGGGACACAGAGACACTCAGAAGGGCTGGGGGAAAGAACAGTAACAGACACAGAGAGGCTGGGGAGGGAGGCCATAACGCAGACAGATGGGGAAAAAGAAACATGCAAAGGGGCTGGGGAGAGTGACACAAAAAGGGTCTGGGAGGGGCTTGGGGGAAGAGACACTCAATGGGCCGGAGGGAGAAAGAGACACACAAAGGGGCTGGGGGAGAAAGAGAAACAAAAGGGTTTGGCAATTTTTGTTTGGGTAGGGTTCAAGTAGTTGGTCTTGCACAGTCTAGCACCGGTCCTGTGTATATATTTGTATATTTGACTGTTCTGAAGCCAGTCCTCAGGGGAACTGATTTGTTGACCTTGTTACTTTGAGATGGAATAAAGGAAGATATTTTTGAAGGCAGTGAGTGCCGGTATATATATCTTGCATGCTTTATGCATATATGTTTGTATGTGAGTAAGGTATAGATATTATTTTTTTTGTTTTTATTATAGTATTTCTTTTTTTTTTGTACAATCAATGTTCAGTTAGTGACAGCTGGGGGCCTCTGTCTGAATGTGGGGGCCTATAGCCCCAAATCTTTTTGACTTTTACCCGCTTTGTTCTCACTGCCCACACTCAGTCTCCTTAGTGAGTTTAGGAGGTGTCTGGGATCGGAAACAGTGCAGTAATAGAGACACACTATTACTGCTGCCTCAAAAGCCATTTAGTGATGCAGGGTCGGAGTGACATCATATTCCGGCTCCCGGCATCACCACAGAGATTGAGCAAGAAGGAGCGAGGAAGAGCAGGAGATTCAATACTCCCTCATCGCCCATGCTCAGCCCTCCCTCAGACACAATGTATTCTGGCAGAATAGGTACCTGCAGTGTTTTTAAAAATATTAAATATTAAAAATGTATATAAAATAAATATATATATATATATACGTCATAATATATATATATCACTATATCAAAAAATATCAAAACATTAATTTGTTAAAATATTTTTCAAAATATTAAATCCTTTGAAAACCTTATACAAAAATATAAAATCGAGGGCTTAGAATATTATGCATATATTTCCTGTTGAACATTACGATTGTTTCCTTAAAAGGTTCTCTCTAATTTACTTTTTTTTTTACATTTCTTATGTTGTATTCTGGTTTTTTTTTTTAGAAGATGAAGAGAAACATGAAACATCAGAAGCTTTTATATGAATCTCTTCTCTGAATTTGATGATTTTATGAAATCAAAACCTTAAGGAGTACTGTAACGTACTGATAGAGAAGATGCTATCCTCAATCTCTTCTCCATTAATCATCCCTGCCAGAAAAAAAAAAAACTATAACGGAGCTCCTGTACTCTACCAGATTATCTCCATTCGTTTACCTCCCTTATACAGCTTAAAAGTCGACAATGATCAGCATTATCCTCATAGACCAGTCGAGACTTGATGAAGGGTAAAAGCAGGAACAAAATTTATTGGAACACAGGCACCACATTTATACCATTTTGAATGTGTATTCACCCTCCAGGGGCATTAATCTGTGCAAGAATCTGTCTAGAATGCATGCTAATAATTTGGGTAAAGTCTGGCCAATGTTTAGGGATGACTTGGAAAGATGGTATAGTTTAGAAATCTAATAGTTAGGAAGAATAAATTCGGTCAAAATGAATATACTACCAAAAATGTTGTACTTTATTAAAGCCATACCTCTCACTATTCCCATATCATTCTTTAGAAAAATTCACTCTGCTCTTTTGACATTCATCTGGAGTAGGAAACCGTCAAGAATCAAGTTATTCGTATTGCCAAAACCTAGAATTGGAGGAGGTTTGGGGTTACCAGATTTTATACAATACTACCATGCCTCCAATGCTGCAGATGCAATTAAATTTAATTTAAATATTGGACACACTCAATGGGTTGATATATAGGCAAATAAAATTCTCCCGCATTCAATTAGTAACATAATTTCTCTTCCTCCCTCTCAAAGACCAAATTTCATCAATATGTTTCCATCAACAAAAATCCTATTTCCATCTTAAAAAAGGACATCCCTGAATTGAACATTGACTATTGGACTTCACATTCTATTGTCCGTATAACTGATTTTTTTTTTACAAAAAAAAACAATTTATATTACTGTACACTACAACTATCAAATTTAGAAAAAAATATACATTCCAGATCCCAGCATAAAAAAAAGAACTATTTCATTTTGTTATTTATATCTATTAGAAAACAGCCAAAAATTTAATTGGGAAAAAGATTTTTTCAAATAATTGGATATTACAGAATGGTTTGAATGTGCGGCGGCACTGAGAGGCATTACACAGTGTGTGGCGCATTCAGAGTTCCACTACAAAGTCATTCATCATTGGTATCTCACCCCCTCTAGACTACATACATTTAAATAATCTAATTCGCACAAATGTTGGTCGGGGTGTGGACAAGTGGGCTCATTGTGTCACATACTATGGGTGTGTCCAAAGGAAATTGGAAATCAATTCCCAAATGAATATAGACAATTACTGATTCAATTCCCGAACTGACCCCTAAAATTTGTCTCTTTAAAAAACTTCCAACTCACCTATTAAATTACCAAAAAATAATGCTAGGTCATATTATAATTGCTGCAACTACCACCATAACCAGATATTGGAAACTAGTGACTTACCAGACATTAAGGAGGTTTTATATTCCATTCTAGATAGTAAACAACATGAACTGATTTACCGTACATATTCAGAATATAATATTATAATTAGATAATAATGGAATGAATGGGAAAAAGTGTCCGAAGTAAATATAATTTATCAATATGATACCCATCTGATCAAATTATGTACATAAATTCTATTACTATAATAACTTTTTTTCATTTTGTAAATAGGATATATTAAATGACTAAAATATATAACTTTTTATGGATGATTGTATATATAAAATTATTGTTTATTTTCTTTTTCTTTTTCTTATTTTTCCCCATTGTATTTTATCTTTATTATTAACTTCATTTATTTATTTCTCATTTGTTTATTTTTTTATTTTTATTATATTATTAATAATTTTATAGACTTATTGTTATTAATCTTATGTATTATCAATATGTTTTTTTTTATTATTATTATTATTATTATTATTATATTGTATGAATATATATTTGAAAAACCCAATAAAAACATTTGAAACCAAAAAAAAAAAAAGATGGCACAGAGAGGCTGGTGACAATGTATTGCCAACGACGGCCGCCCTTTGATATGATTTTTAAAACCCATTAAAACAAAACAGTTTTTTATGTACTTTTCAGAAATATATGCATTTTTTCCCCAGATAATTTCGTTCATTTTTTACACCCCTTCAAAATGTTGGAGATATTTATGCCCTACCCTTTACAAAGTGTATGCATTGATTGCTCATTGGCTTAAATACAAGGTTTATGCATTTAATGCATTAAAAGCATTCCCTTACCCCCAGGGTGCTTTTGCCCCCCAGAGTATACAGTATCTCCCAAAAGTGAGTACACCCCTCATATTTTTGTAAATATTTTATTATATCTTTTTATGTGACAACACTGAAGAAATGACACTCTGCTACAAGGTAAAGTAGTAAGTGTACAGCCTGTATAACAGTGTAAATTTGCTGTCCCCTCAAAATAACTCAACACACAGCCATTAATGTCTAAACCGTTGGCAACAAAAGTTAGTACACCCCTGTCCAAATTGGGCCCAAAGTGTCACAATTTTGTGTGGCCACCACGATTTTCCAGCACTGCCTTAACCCTCATGGCCATGAAGTTCACCAGAGCTTCACAGGTTGCCGCTGGAGTCCTCTTCAACTCCTCCATGACGACATCACGGAGCTGGTGGCTGTTAGAGACTTGTGCTCCCTCACCTTTTTGAGGATACCCCACAGATGCTCAATAGGTTATAGGTCTGGAAACATGCTTGGCCAGTCCATCACCTTTAACTTCAGCTTTTTTAGCAAGGCAGTGGTCGTCTTGGAAGCATAGGCGTGCGCAGCCTATTGCATTAGGGTGTGCACCCTAAAGCACAAGCACACGCTGCATATATATATATATATATATGTATATATATATATATATATATATATATATATACACATACATACATATACACATATATACACACTGCTGTGTGTGTGTGCTGTGTGAGGGTGCTGTTAGTGTGATGTGTGTGTGACGATGCTGGTAGTGTGCTATGTGGGTGAGGGTGTTTGTGTGTGCGTGCTTGTGGGGATGCTGTTAATGTACTGTGTGTGAGGGTGCTGTTTGTGTGTGTGTGTGTGCGCTTGTGAGGGTGCTGTTAATGTACTGTGTGTGAGGGTGCTGTTTGTGTGTGAGGGTACTGGTAGTGTGCTGTGTGTGTGTTTGTTAGGGTCCTGTTTGTGTTTGTGAGGGTACTGTTAGTGTGCTGTGTGTGAGGGTGCTGTGTGTGTTTGTGAGGGTGCTGTGTGTGTGGGTACTGTATGTGTGTGTGTGTGGGTGCTGTGTATGTGTGTTGGTGCTGTGTGTCTGTGGGTGCTGTATGTGTGTGGGTGCAGTGTATGTGTGTAGGTGCTGTGTATGTCTGTGGGTGCTGTATGTGTGTAGGTGCTGTGTATGTGTGTGGGTGCTGTGTATGTGTGCTGTGTATGTGTATGGGTGCTGTGTATGTGTGTGGGTGCTGTATGTCTGTGGGTGCTTCTGAATGTATGTGGGTGCTGTGTATGTGTGTGGGTGCTGTGTGTATGCCTGGGTTGCTTTGTGTGTGTGGGTGCTGTGTATGTCTGTGGGTGCTGTGTGTATGTCTGTGGGTGCTGTATGTATGTGGGTGCTGTGTATGTGTGTGTGGGTGTTGTGTGTCTGTGGGTTCTGTATGTGTGCGGGTGTTGTATGTGTGTGGGTGCTGTGTATGTCTGTGGGTGCTGTATGTGTGCGGGTGTTGTATGTCTGTGGGTGCTGTATGTGTGCTGTATGTCTGTGGGTGCTGTATGTGTGCGGGTGTTGTATGTCTGTGGGTGCTGTATGTGTGCTGTATGTCTGTGGGTGCTGTGTATGTCTGTGGGTGCTGTATGTGTGCTGTATGTCTGTGGGTGCTGTATGTGTGCTGTATGTCTGTGGGTGCTTTATGTGTGCTGTATGTCTGTGGGTGCTGTATGTCTGTGGGTGCTGTGTATATCTGTGGGTGCTGTGTATGTCTATGGGTGCTGTGTATGTCTGTGGGTGCTGAATGTATGTGGGTGCTGTATGTGTGTGGGTGCTGTGTATATCTGTGGGTGCTGTGTATATCTGTGGGTGCTGTGTATGTCTGTGGGTGCTGTATGTGTGTGGGTGCTGTGTATGTCTGTGGGTGCTGTATGTGTGTGGTCTTGTGTGTGTGGGTGCTGTGTATGTCTGTGGGTGCTGTATGTGTGTGGGTGCTGTGTATGTCTGTGGGTGCTGTATGTCTGTGGGTGTTGTATGTCTGTGGGTGCTGTGTATGTCTGTGTGTGCTGTATGTCTGTGAGTGCTGTATGTGTGTAGGTGATGTGTATATCTGTGGGTGCTGTATGTCTGTGGGTGCTGTATGTGTGTTGGTGCTGTGTATGTCTGTGGGTGCTGTGTCTGTGGGTGCTGAATGTGTGTGGGTGCTGTGTATGTCTGTGGGTGCTGTATGTGTGTGGGTGCTGTATGTGTGTGGGTGCTGTGTATGTCTATGGGTGCTGTGTATGTCTGTGAGTGCTGTATGTGTGTGGGTGCTGTATGTGTGTGGTTGCTGTATGTGTGTGGGTGCTGTATGTGTGTGGGTGCTGTGTATGTCTGTGGGTGCTGAATGTATGTGGGTGCTGTATGTGTGTGTGCTGTAAGTGGGTAGGTGATTGTGGGGGTGGAGGTGGGGGTACATTACTTGCTATCCCCCCTCCCTTCTTACCTTTTGTAGGGAGGGGGGATCGTGCTGCTGATTCCATCCCTGGTGGTCCAGTGGAGAGTGAACTCAAGCCCCCTGTGGGGCTAGAGTTCACTCCCGCGAGATTTGAGCGTTGCCGTGGCAACGCTCATATCTCGCGAGAGGAACCCGGCGGAGCTGCCGGCAATAGCTCCGCCGGTCCTCTCCTGCCTCCCTCCCTGCATGTGGGTCAGTGGGGAGGGAGGCTGAGAGCAGAGCCGGCGCTCGGATAGGGCCGGCTCTGCATGAGCCGACAGGGGGGATCCTGAGATCTCCCCTGCCGGTCTCAATGTACATAGGCGTGCCGCGGGGATTAGGCTGTGCCCAGGCACACCCGGCACACCCCGTGCGCGCGCCTATGCTTGGAAGTGTGTTTGAGGTCATTATCATGCTGGAATACTTCTCTGCGGACCAGTCTCTGAAGGGAGGAGATCATGCTCTGCTTCAGTAAGTCACAGCACATGTTGGCATTCATTATGCCCTCAATGAACTGTAGCTCCCCAGTGCTGGCAGCACTCATGCAGGCCCAGACCATGACACTCCCACCATCATGCTTGACTGTAGGCAAGACACACTTGTCTTTGAACTCCTCACCTGGTTGCTGCCACATACGCTTGACATCATCTGAACCAAATAAGTTTATCTTGGTCTCATCGGACCACAGGACATGGTTCCAGTAATCCATGTCCTTAGTCTGCTTGTCTTCAGCAAACTGTTTGCGGGCTTTCTTGTGCATCATCTTTAGAAGAGGCTTCCTTCTGGGACGACAGCCATGCAGACCAATTTGATGCA